GTGGTGTTTATGAAGGTTGAATGTTGAGTTTCGCAGACTACAAAAACGAACTGAAACAGTACGCCTAGAATTGTGTCAACAGGGTGTGTAATGCGAGGTTAGGATATTGAGCAAGCACTTCCTATAAAATACCGTCATGCTGCACTTGTGCCCCGCGCACTGACCTGCTGTAAGATGGATGGATCATACTTCCTGTTTAGGCTAAAACTGGGTCTGGCGCCAGGAAAACCAGTCCAGTGAAGCTAGTCCATCTATAGTGTTCTCTCACATGTATTATTACTGCTTTACATCATATCTTTATGACCATCTAGATTTATTTAAATAATTTCCTACACTGCTTTTTCTCAAAGTAGGGCAGGATTCTGGTAGAGGTGTCTTGAATGAGCTGCAGCAGCTATTTTTTGTTGTCCGTTTACACACTTAAAACAACAGAAAAGTGTCTCATACATTCTTATATTCAGATATGTTTAAGTTAAGTTGAGTTATAAAGCTCTGAGCCATTATCTGAAAATCATTTAATCATGGTGCAACCATCACAACTGTTGATGTAGAGGCCACAACAAATACGTGGAAGAAGGTGCTCAGACAAGCCAATAATAAACTGCTTGGCTTACATGCAAAAAGCTATGTGGAAAACAATATTCATGAACCCCAGGGAGAAACATGGGGATTTCTGCATCATGTTTAGCATGGAAAAGAGAAGCTGGTCAGTGTTGATAGGAGTAAAACACAGGACAATCCTGGGAGAACACCAGTTTGATTCTGTAAAAGGCCAGAGACCTAGAACAAAAGTTTTAAAGACTGTATTGATCCCTGAAGGAAATTAAATTCTGTCGTAACTATTAAATTATTTTTTCCAACCAGTTGTTGTAAATGTTGATAGGCAAGAAGGACCTTCTGTAGCAGTCAGTCTTGAAGCCTCTGACTGAAGACACTCTGTTGTTGTAGATTGTCTTCCTGGGACAATGCTTATGTTTTATTATTGTTCTTTACTTTGGGAAATTCTAGCCAGAGGTTCTGGAGGAGTTCCTGGAGCAGAGTCGGCCTCCTTTATCAGCTTGTTGAGCTTCTTTCAGTCATTTGCTCTGATGCTGTTACCCCAATAGATAATGGCAGAAGAGATCATACTCTCCACAACAGACGTATAGAAGATCTGAAGAGTCTTGCTGCAAATCCCTAAGGACCTAAGCTTCCTTAGGAAGTACAGTCTGCTCTGTGCTTTCTTGTAGACGGCTTCATAAGTTGCATCTTTAGTTTGTTGTCCAGGTGAACACCAAAGTATTTATACTCGTCTACCACATTCATTTCTTCTATTAAAGTTAATTGGATTCAACTTGTTCCTTTTTCTCATTAAATCTAAAATCCTCTCCCTTATTTTTTTTTTAATTCAGGATCAGAGGATTGTTTCCACACAAGCTTTTCCCTGGCTGCCTGTACTCAGCTTCTTGTCCATCTTTGATCCACCCAATGACTGCAGAGTCATCCGACTATTTCTGCAGACCACAGGACACCTAAATATTGTCAGTGTTTCTCTCCACACACCTGACTTGAATGAAAAGGTGATTAGCAGCATTTGATGGCTGCTGAGGAGGTGATGCAATCATTTGAATCAACTGACACATCTAAAACTAGAAGGACGGTTTGTAGCACTGAGGACCCCGTCATATGTGGAACTCTGTGCTGATGACAACTGGTCTGTTTGATCCAGGCAATTGTTAATTTTCTTAAAAAGAATTGATTTTCTTGAAAATTAAGTCAGCCTGAATCCTGTTAAAGGTTCTGGAGAAATCAAAGCACAGCATCCTCACAGTGCTGTCTGCATTTTCTCAATAACAGTGGGTTTGTTGAAGCAGGTGTATGATGGCATCTTCAACTCCAACTCCACGACAATGAGTAAACTCCAGGGGGTCCTGATAGTGGGTTGTTTTCTTGGTAAAAGTGGACCAACAGAAGTGTCTGTAAAACCTTCATGATGTGGGATTTCAGGGTAAGAAGTCTATAGTCACTGAGGACGGCTGGCTGAGGGTTTTTTTTGGCACAATATAAGGCAGGATGTCTTGGGTCTCCAGGGTCAGGCTTGAAGAGGTGCTGTAGAATCCAACAGACCTTCTCTCCACTCTGGATCTGACTTTGTGCCAACAAACAGCATTTTATATTTTCCCCATCTCTTTCCATCCTAATTCCTGTCTTCCTGAAATAAAATAAAGGACAATAGAGCCACAAAAATGTCACCAAAAAGGTGATCCTATAACATACTGACCCAGAAGGATGAAAGCAAGTGTACCTTTTGTATTAATTATTTTTAATGATCTTTCAGTTATAGAGAGTAGAAAGAAAAATAAACTACTTCATGATCATCTATCACATAAAAAGGCAAAAGTATAAAAGTGTGTAGAACTGCCTGCATGGCACTGCATTTGTTAGAAGGGAGGTAAAATGAGATCATATGTTATTTGTAGCCGACAAGATGACAAAAGTAAGCATGAATTGGAGCATCCACATACACTCGATGAAATTGTTGGCATCCCTCGTTTCATGAAAGACAAACCCACAATTGTCAGAAAAATAACTTGAATCGGACAAAAGTAATAATTAAAAGCTCTATGAAAAAGATAACATCAAAGTCGGACATTGCATTTTGACCATGCTTAAAAACAATAAATCCTCCTGAGAGGTTTTAGGTAAAGGTAGCCTCCCTAAATTAGCCACATTTGATTCGCTCTGCTTTGCTTTGCTCCAGATCTGCACTCTACATAGAGATAACATTGGAATCCTTTGCCACAGCTGCGAAACTCTCGTTCGGTGTGAAAATACCGTTACACATATCATTCAGAAGTTTTAGATCCAGGCGACTGTAGCTTACGTCCCTGGATGTGGCAGCAGGAGGAAGATGGAGGGCAAATCAAAAAGATGCATAAAATGAATGGTAACAAAGGAACCCAGAAAAACTTTTATAGGGATTAAAGGTGTACATCAAGCTCAAGGAACATCAGTGTCAGATTGCGCCATCTGTCATTTTTTTTAACCTTAGCGGACAGCATTATTAAAAATAAATTAGAAAAAAAACAAAACAGACAGGAATTTGTCAAACTATATGCTGACAAGCCACAAAGCTTTTGGGAAATGTTCCTATAGACAGATGAGAAAAAAATTGAACTTTTCTTTTGCCAAAGCACATTAGCTCTATAATCATAGGTGAAAAAATGAAGCAGAAGAAAAGAACACTGACTCTGGTGTGAAATATGGAGGGGAATGTTCTGCGCCTGCTTTGCTTCATCTGCAAAAGGTGTCTTGAATCTCTGCAGGTTTCAATGAAATCTCAAGTGATTTTAGAGAGAAATGTGTACTTAGTTTCTGAAAGCTTGGTCTCAGTAGCAGGTCATTGGTCTTGTAACAGAACAATGACCCAAAACATAATGAGAAACACCCAAGAGTGGCTAAGAGGAAAACCTTGGTCTATTCTGATGTGGCCTGCTATGATCCCTGACCTAAATCTGTGGATTGAATCGGTGATTATTTTTCCATCATGTTTTTTTCAGTCATGTTTTCATTTTATTTCATTTTTTTAACAGGATATGATGAAGCAAATTCTAAAACAACATATCATGTTTTACTTCTATGACTAAAATCTGACATTTCCCTACTGGTGTTTATACATTTCATATCAGCTGTTAATGCTGAAATGTCACCAGATTCTGTGACAGTACCTTAACAACAGGAAGGAAACACTGTGCAGATTAGCTCTTCGGGTTGAATCAATTGCTGCTAAATGGGCCACTTAAAAAAAAAAAAACAACAACAGAGAGCTGTTTCTTTTTTTAATCACATCAGTGCTCTAAATGCTGCTGGCGTCAAATGTACTCCACTGAATGCCACTGTACAGACACCAAAAGCAGCTGAAAGGGATTCACGGTGGTTTAAATTGAGGCATATTATAGTAAGAAAACATTTCTGTATTATATTGCTGTTTGTTAAAAATAGAAATAAAAGAAGCTATACTGATAAAGTTACTTATATGGGTTTATCATTAAAAGAAGAAAACAGTCATTTGACCCTGTTTGTCTTTTTTTTTTTTTTTACACCTCCAAACCGCTAGATGGGGATATTATAAAAAAAAAACAGAAAATGAAAACAAACACAAAGCTGTAGAAGATATGAGCTGTAAAGTTAGACTTTTGTCACAGCATTTCCTTTAACCTAAGATTAAAGTAAAATTCTTATGGATTTTTTTTTGTGGTGATTTTAGCATAGGAGAGCATTTTTACTCATATACCTACTAAACATATATTTTATGTAGTACAGTTAGGTTCAATGAGGTTTTTTGTACTCACAAAGAAAATAAAAGTGAAGATGGATAGAATAAATGTATGTGTGTATGTGGTTTTGCTTTGTTTTCTGTTTAGGTCACATTTATTAGCATTACAAAAACATGACCCAATAATGGCATTCCGACAAATTACCAACCTAAAGAGAAACAAAGAGACAAAGAGAAACAAATACAGGCTTAAGTAACAAATCTGTGTACTTTTGAGACCACTGTATATATATTTTTTCTTTTTTCAGAACAAATATCTGCAATTGCTTGTGTTCTCCTATCTATCTATCTATCTATCTATCTATCTATCTATCTATCTATCTATCTATCTATCTATCTATCTATCTATCTATCTATCTATCTATCTGTTTTTCATTATTTTCTTTCTGTTTTCACTTATCTTTGCATTCTTAAAAAAAAGTGTTCATTTCAGGGCAAAACAAAGTCCACCTGCCAGCTATTTATGAATTTAAATCCTGAAATAAAATTAATTGAATTTAAGTTATTATTTCCTGAACATGACTAAAAAAGTTCGTATATTATAATATATTCGCATTAAAATGTCTTATCACGGGGTTCGGTGGAGCTTTATTTTGAAAACTAAACCGGAAGCAGATCGCAGGTTCACCTGTTTAACCATCAGAGGGGATGTACCATAGATATGGGATGTACTTGGATTAACGGCGTGTATGCGTCCTTGACAGTCAGTGACCCACGTGACTTTCGGCTAACAGTCACGTAAAGCTATCAGCTAGCCGAACTTATCCAACTGATTAAGGACAGACTGGAGTTTTGCTTTAGACTAAGATCTTTTGAGCTACGTCTTAAAAAGCAGAATGTCCTCTAACTGCAGACCTCTGCTGTCTCTGCTGCAGCGGTGTGTCGCACTCAGACAGTTGAAAAGCAGAAGCAGCGTGGTGCCTGAGTTCAGCTGGAGCTCCATTCAGCAGCGAGCCTGGACCTCTGGGAGACCCGCAGTCTGTCTGCGGACTCTCTGTCCGCTCCAACCCGCCTGGACAAGCGTTCATCACCGGTTCTGCACCAAGGTTAGACCCAGGATTGCAGCTCCACCAGTTTATTCACACAGCTTCCATTTTCAGAGGCGTAGCCAGAAAATTTCTATAAGGGTGGCCAAGCAATTAACAGTGGTGGCCGAAAGCGGTTAGGCGCCAGAACCTGAGGGTCAAGCCTAAGATAAGACAAACTATACTTTCCTACAGCTTTTGCTAACAAATAGACACATATATTTAAACATCCGTGCTTTCTAAATAAAAGGTATAATAGTTACAGTTCTTTCAGGGTTGAGTTCTGGGGCTAACATCTTTTCCATTTTCACTACTTACTTACTTGTATCAATAGTCATTCTGCATAAAATTGATACGTGCATCTACTAATATCTAAATAAATGTATCATTTAATACGTTTTTATTAAAATAGTTATTTATGATTTCACTGAAGACTCCTAGATGACTTGCAAAGACACATTCTCTCTTAACCCCATAAAACACAAAATCTAGTTCTGAAAAGAGCATGAATTATCTACCTATCATCTTTAATGTTAGTAAATTGATGTGTATAATTAACCACAGTGATTTTGTTGTCAAGTAATTATGAATATAGGTTAAAAAAATTAATATATGAAAAATTAAAATGTTTTGAATATTCCACTTCAGAGTATTACTGCTGCCACCGTCTGTATTAGAGGGGAAAAAATGGTAGGGGTGGCCAATGATTGGCTAAGGGTGGCCAAGGCCCCCCATCTAGCTCCGCCCCTGTACATTTCCCCCTTTTAAAATATTATTTTGCCACAGCAGCATAGCTTATCCCAGGGACCTTTCTTTTTCGGGCTTGATTCCATTTTAATGATCAAAATCACACAAACTTAAAGTAAAGTTCAGCTGTCCTGACACAATTTTTCTAATTTGCATGTCAACTAAAACCATCGTTTTCAAAGAGCCTAGAAAGGATCAAAATGTTCTCATTGCACAAAGATATAAGTCAGACTAGGAATATAAAAACCCTTAATAATTTCACAACAATAGCTTGTGTTTATTTGTTTTATCGTGGCTAAAATAATATGGGTGTGAGAATGTGTTACTGTCTGATATATAAACTAAACATCGTCTTCTGCCAGTGTTCCAAATCATTCTGCTCATGCAGTGAAACACGGCAGTGGCAGCATCATGCTCTGGGGGCACTTTCCCTCAGTGAATGACGTTAGGAAAAATAGTCAGGTTTTAGGGAGAAAAAAAAACCCTCTGCTGGAAAGCTGACCATAAAGGGAAATGTTTGTGAGTTCAAGAATAAGAAACCGAATCAAGATTTCTAAAAGACTAAATTATCTGCTGCAGAAACTGATCCCATTTTGTCATATCTGAGCCCTGATCTGTCTGCTCCCACCTTTCAAAGCTAAAATATAGATGATTTATGATTTACTGTGGTAGCCTGTTAATTACCTGACTTCTACCCCACTACTCGCTGCATAAAGCCATTTAAATATCTTTATAAAACTTGTTTATCCCCTTGGATCAAATAGTTCTTAAGGTAACTAACTTAACTCCACTGCTTTTGACTTATTTTTATGACAATTTAATTCTTAAATTTAGATTAGTATTTCTAACTGAAAGGCTTCAAAGATGCATGGTTTCAAGTTTTATTTCTATAAAAATTGCTTGATTATCTTACCTTCAGTAATACTACCTAGGTTTCTTTGGAGCCTGAAAAATCAACTTTTTGTCTTCTAGGCAGGGTCACCATGCGAAGAGGAATACCCTCCTCTGCCAGACTATCAGGCCGATTCCCAGTCACCAACCAAGGAGGTGTACATCGTGCAGGTGAAGGGCTTTCCCTGGTCCTGCACCGTGCAGGACCTCCTGCAGTTCTTCTCAGGTGAGCAGCTACGTTAGGACCCAGGGCCCGACAGCTTGGGGAAAGTTTGCACATCCTGCATTAAGAAAAGTGCTGCACAGTTTAGATGAGGATGAGATGAGGATTTTTTGGGTAAATATTGCTGTGATCAGCTCATTTTCTGTTCTAACGATGCTTGTAGCAGTCTCTTTAATCTTTAGCCTTTGTTTCTCATGTTATGTTATAAATTAAATACATCTAAAGCATGAACCAGTTAGTCTTGAAAAAATGTGGCATATTTATGCTGCAATTAGTTAAATACAAAATACTGATTTCACATGATTCTTTTTTTCATGTTAAAAGGCAAAGAATCTTTCTAAACAACCCAAGTCAGTGTGAAAAAGTAATCACACCATTTTATTGAGCTTTTAACATTCTTTTCCTTTTGTTTTCTGCGTTAGTAACTGCCAGCGGCTATTTATACCAGAAATATAAGATAAGACAAAAGTAAAAGAACCTGTTTGACAACATGAAGAAGGCTAGATTTCAAAGAGAAACAGCTCAGTTCAACTGACTGACCAAAATCACTCTATATTACAAAATTAACTCATTTAAGAGGCCAACAAAGAGGACAGAATAAGATATATTGTGCTTCAGGCCTCAATTTTTCTAATTAAGGTCAGATTTTACCATAGAATAACAAGAAACAGGGTGGAAAATGCTTCTGCGGGAGAGTTCTAAGGTCAGAACCACTGCTGATCAATAAGAGCATAAAGGCTCGTCTCAGATCTGTTTGGAAAGAAAAAAGGTGACCATAAAGACTTTTTTAGAAGGATGTTTTGTTTTAGACTGATGTGACAGAAGTCAAACTTCTTTGGAAGATTTTTGCGTCATTAGATTCGGTTTTAAGCTAATAAAGCTTTTCAGAATCAGAACTTAATACTGACACACAGACAGGGTGGTGTTAGTGTGATGGTTGGGGCTGCTTTGGAACTTGGATGTCTTCCTGAAAAACCCTGTAAACATTGTTAGACATCAGCTAATACAGACTTACATTCTGATTAAGAAGGCACTAGCATGTCCACCTAAATGGCCATAAAATGCTAGAATGGATGTTTAAAAGAGTTCTAATACGAACCCCAAACTCATACTTGATATAGGTGCTTTGATCTGAGCTTAAACAGGTGTTGAAACTCAAATATTTTCTAAAGCAGAGGTCATGGAGTATAATAAGGAACCGGACCGCGATTACCGTGATCATATTTTCTATTAACTTAGGTTAAATTTGTGTGAGATTACGTCCGGTTGATCATCACAAGACCTTGGAACAGAAGAAATCTGTAAAAATATTTAGTCCTGACAATTTATGCTGAGGTTATAAAAGGTGGAGTGACAGAAATGAACTGTGCTGCAGATTGTAGAATCCGTGACGGAGAGAAGGGGATCCACCTGACTTTGGACAGGCTGGGAAGGCCGTCCGGACGCGCCTTCATCGAGATGGAGCACGAAGAGGATGTGACCAAGGCTCTGGAGAAACACAGACAGTACCTCGGTCCACGTTATGTTGAAGGTGGGTTCCTCTAACCGTCAGCTGTGGTAACAAAAACAAACTTCATCTGTTTTTCTGTTAAACCAAAGAAAAACAAACCAGAAAGCAAGCCTGCATTTGTTTCTCTTTAGGTTGGTCCTTTGTTGAAATTCCATTATTAGGTTTTTTAAAAGCAGCAGTGTGTTTTTGTAATGCTGATAAATGTGACCTAAACAAAAAAACAAAGCATAAAATTCTGCACTTATAAAAGTGTAAACTACAACAGGGTTAAATGCCATTACTGGGATGGTTAAGAATCTGTACTGGCAAGTTTCATTACAATGCATTCTCAGTGCATGCAGCATTAAAGTAACACTTGGTGAAAACACCTTTTGGTTTTATTATAGCTCTGTCTGTTTGTCGTCAGCACTGTATTGCAAAAAACAATCTAGAAATAAGTCAACATGTCTTAAATTATGTGCATTTACCCTTAACTTGAGTAGATAAATGAGATGATTTCCCAATGGAACGAGTATTTTTACTTTAAAAAAATAACATA